GCTGATACCAAGGGCTCAAGTAGAAAGCAAATGTTTTGAGAATGATGAGGGCAACAAATGTGCTTGACACAATGGATGGATGTATGGATTGTGATAAGAATTGTGCGAGACCCCAATACAATGATTTAATTATTTAAAAAAAATAAAATAAAATAAAAGAAGTACACACAGTGGAAGACAAAATAGATGCCTGGGCCTATTGAAAATAAAATACTGCAAAACAATGAAGTCCCCAGGGAATACCAAAAATAGACTTTGGAGCCAGAGCATGGTACCCCATCAGTGTTTTTGACCAGAAAACTCTCCTAAAGGTCAACAAACAGACTTGGAACTATTTATAGGCTTTTCTATTTTTTGTCGTTGGTTTTGTTGTTGTTTTGGGTTTTTTTGTTTTGTTTTGCTCTGTCTTGTTTTTGTTCTTATTATTGGCTCTGCGTATTTATCCAGATAAGATTGGCAAAATAAACAATATGGAGGAGAAAACAATTGGACTGGCGGTTCTTGGGGGACATGGGAGAGGGGGAGGCAGGTGAAAGGAACGGTGGGTGGGTGGGTATCAACCAACCTAAGGATAAGGGAACAACAAGTGATCTAAAGTTGAGGGCGAGGAGTGTATAGGATGCCTGGTAGGGCTTGATCAAGTGCAATGTAGCTGAGAGGAATTACTGAAACCCAAATGAAGGTCGACCATGATAGTGGGACAAGAGGAAAGTAAAAGGAAATAGAGGAAAGAACTAGCAGGCAAAGGATATTTATAGAGGTCTAAATTCAGGCATGTACATATATAAATATATTTTTATATAACAGTAGGGAAATAGATCTATGTACATATATTTATATGTTAAGTATTAGGTAGCAGATGGACATTGGGCCTCTACTCAAGCACTCCCTCAATGCAATAAGACTTTTGTTATAATAACCTGGCATTCCGTGGTACTCAGCTTCCTGATACATTTGCTGAAGACAAAAGGGGTGCATAAGCAAATGTGGTAAAGAAAGCTGATGGTGCCCAGATATCAAAAGATATAGTGTCTGGGGTCTTAAAGTCTTGAAGATAAGCAAGTGGCCATCTACCTGAGAAGCAACAAAGCCCACACAGAAGAAGCACACCAGCCTGTGTGATCATGAGGTGTTAACAGGATCAGGTATCAGGCATCAAAGACCCAGAACAAAAACATCATATTGTGAATGAGGGGAAGGGCGGAGTGGAAATTCAAAGCCCATCTGTAGGCAGTTGGACTTCCCCTTACAGAAGGGTCACAGGGAGGAGACATACATGATGAAACATACACCTTTCCTCTAGTTCTTTAATACTTCATCCACCACAACAATCATGTACCCAAGTCTGCCCTACAAATCCAGCTAGACCAGAGCATGTACATGGGTACAGATAAGACCTAGAAACAGGGAATCTAGGACATATAAACCCCTCAGGAGCAATAATGAGAGTAGCAATACCAGGAGGGTAAGGGGGTGGTGAGGGAGAAAAGGGGAACCGATCACAATGATCTACATATAACCCCCTCCCAGGGTGACAGACAACAGAAAAGTGGATGAAGGGAGACATCGGTCAATGTAAGGCATGAAAAAATAATTTATAAATCATCAAGGGTTCTTGTGGGAGGGCTGGATGGAGGGAAAAAACAATGGGCTCAAGTAGAAAGAAAATGTTTTTAAAATGATAATGGTAACATGTACAAATGCTTGGCACAATAGATGCATGTATGGATTGTGATAACAGTTGTATGAGCACCCAATAAAATGATTAAAATAAATATATAAATAAAAATAATAAAACACTGTACCCACAAAATTAAGAAAGAAAGATGACTGTGAGGGCCAGGGCACCCACTATTGGTCAGCACTCTCTTTGAGGTACAGAACTCACAGGGATGAGATACCGCTCCTGGATTGAGGGGTGTTTTTTTGTTTGTTTTTTTACTTCTTTATTATCTGAGGAAGGGCACCTGATTGGAAGTAGTTTGTGCCAACTCAGATGGTAACTGAAGTAAGGTGCTTGTTTCTGGAAGAACTTATTTCAGGCCCAGAGAGCAGCTGTGGCAGGGCAGTTGGTTACAAGAGTATTTCCCACCAGAATGGAGTTGACCATGAAATAGATACTGTGTACCCTGGGTCTGATGAGGGTTTGTTCATGTACCTACGGATTAGGGGGTTGTGCACCCTGCACCTGATTCAGGAGTGCAAGGCTCCAACCTCAGGCAGAGCAAGGGGGTCGAGAAGGTAGGATTTCTGATCACCAGGAAGATGTGGGAACAAATAAGGATTCCTCTTTTCATCTTGCTAGCCGCAGTGTTCCTGCCTGCTGTCTGAATGGCATCCATCTGTTTCCTCTCAGGCCTTTTCTGTTCTCCTAAACCAAAACCAAACTTACTGCCCTGGAGTCAGTGCCAACTCATAGCAATTCTATGCAACAGGGTAGAACTGCTCCAGTGGGTTTCTGGGAATAGAAGGTCCCAACTTTCTCCCTTCCAGTTGCTGGTGGTTTTGAACTGCTGACCTTGCAGATCACAGCCAAATACAGAACCACTACAATGCTAGGGTTATCCTTTTCACCAAAACTCAGGGTTCCAGAATTATGATCTCTATCTGGTTTTGTAGGTATCTCATGCCTTTGTTGCAGAAGGTCTGTGCAATATGTCTATTTCACCACCTTGCTGGAAGTCCTCCACCGTACAATGAGTAAATCTGTAAATGTACTGTGATACAGTACTCTAATCTGTATCTTGAGATTAAGATTATGAAGGAATCTATTTTTTTGAAACATACTTCAGGCTTAGTGATTGCTAACTTTTGATTCCCAGGGACAGTAGTTCTCAGCCATTTAAATACTCAAGCACACCTGCTACCATTCAGTGTCCCAAGTAACATTGATTATATGTTACAGTGATTGTGATGGAGGTGGAAGTGTTGGTAGAATTAGGGTGTGCTGTTCAGGGTAGCTTTAGAGTTTATGAAAGCATTCAAATCTCCCAAGTTTATTGGTCAAATAAACGAATAAGCTCCTGTGAGACAGAGACCTGTGACTGTAATAAGACAAAATAATTAAAACAATGTAGTTCCAAATGAATTTTTAAATGCATTCATACATTACATACAAGTAAAAATATATATACATCACCTTTTTAAAAACTCGTATTAATCTGGAATTGTTTCTTTCTTTCTAGTGCCACAATTACACTCAAATATACCTTTCTTTATTTGTGACCCAGAAAAGCACCCGTGTAGAAATTCTTTTGTTTATGATGCCCTCGGCAGCATATCTGAAAAGTCAGACAACTAGATGATTTATGGCCATCCTGCGTTTGCCATTTCTATTAATGTGTATATTGGACATCTAAATCTTTAATTCAGGATTCAACTTAGCACACCTGGAACGACCAAGTGGTATCCTAATGGAAAGTATCATATACTGCCTTGTCTTTTCTCTTTCCCACAGCCTTAATACAGATACTGGCAGCTGCTGCTGCTGAACGAGATGTGGTTTATTTCACCTTTGGGGATTCAGAATTGATGAGAGACATTTACAGCATGCACACTTTCCTGACAGAGAGGAAACTGACTGTTGGTAAGTAGGAGATCATCCTGACACTTGGTATCTAAATGGATTGTGCACTGTCCAGAAGGAACTCTCGCTAAATCTGGATGGATCATAATACCTAAGAACAAATGGAAAACATCACTATAAATAAGGAGCACAAAGCCCTTAGAAGGTGAACATCATCATAGTCCTATTTTTTCTACTCTGGGAAAGTTTTATTTAAGATCTTGAATGAATATGTCAGTTTGTTAAAATAAGGAAAAGAAGTTGGAGTTTCTACTTTGATATACAGGGAAAAAAAGAGAGGAAAGATGGTGAGGGCAAGTTCAAATTTAAGAGGCTTCTTTCTGAGTCATATTTATCAGATAGACAGTTTTTCTCAGCTGGACTTGAAAGGCCTTGTTACCTCAGGAGCTGAATGTGTCATTAGGGATGACGTTAACTCCCAAAATGAGTCAAAGCACCAGTTTTAATCATTATCTACTAAGTAGCTTTTTAGAAATGTTTCTAAAGTATTTAACTTTTTGTCAGGAAATCCTTCCAAGTATATGAAATTCATGCTACATTTTCAAAAGCCAAATTTGGCCAAATGCTATTTAGATTAAGATAAAATAGGAGTCCTTTCTTGTATTTTTCCCCTGTCTATACACTTTAATGTCCAGTGTGTTCTGAGGATACTGTGGAATAAACATTGGACTACTACCTGCATGGTCAGCATTTCAAATCCACCAGCTGCTCTTGATTAGTTTTACTCTACTCTATAATGTTGCTGAGTCAGAATCGACTCAATGCCAGTGGGTTTGTTTTGTTTTTTATTTTAATATGAAAATCAATTTGTCTCTCCAGGGGATGTATATAAGCTGTTACAACGATATTATAATGAGGAATGCAGAAGCTGTTCCACTCCTGTTCCAGATATCAAGCTGTATCCGTTCATATACCATGCTGTTGACTCCTGTGCAGAGATCACCAACCAGTCTGGGAAAAAGACAGGAACCTAAGGAACTGAGGGAATAATAGCATCTCCTTTCACCTTGTGGTAGAGATGTTCTGTTTGAGTTGTTAGAGATAATATATGAATTGATTTAACTTAACATAAATGTGTATATAATTCACATTTCAGTAAAGGATGCAATCTATATACATAGAATTTTCAGTATGTGCTATGAGGCCCCCACTATCCCGGCTTACATGGACTTTGATGTACTTTGTTTCCATTTTCTTCTATTTCTGTTTTCATTCTTTGATTTCTCTTTCTCTTGCCCATCAGAGTTCCTGTGAAAGACTGCTGTCAAGTGTCTCATTGATGCCTATGTATAATACCAAATGCCTCTACAATTAGCAGATGCCAGTGATTGCAGGGAATTTGTTGAAATCTAAGAAGCTCTGTAACCGATTTTGCTACGGTGTTACCCTGTGCTCCTTTTATCCCAAGTCTTGTGATTGCATTATTTGAGTTTTTTAATTTTGAAAATTAGCAGTTGGGCTTACTCTCCCCAGCCCCAAGTTTTCATACCTCTTTTTTGATGCAAAGCTATGTTAAGATCATTTCTGTATTGAAAAAAGAAGTAGTTCTGAAAATAGTTCTATTTCCAGACTTTACCTATTATGGTTGTCCTTTTCCCTCCAACCACTTTTTCTTGATACTATTGGAAACTGACCATGATGGAAACCAATGTAGAATAAAAAAGGGTTTTCTCCATATAATGTAAGGAAAACAGATTCAAGAGTATTGAAGGGTTTTTTGTTTAAGATTATTTTTCTTTTTAAATTGAGATTAGTGTTTGTTCTGTGGTGCTCAAAGCATATTCATATAACCAAAGTGTGGGAGCTGGGAACTTCATGTTGATTTGTACATATTGATGTTTCTCTGGTATTGAAAAGTTATATAGTTAATAAATTTTTATTAAAAAATCATTTGTCAGAAACTCCCATATATCTATATTTGATATATAAATAAATATTCTTGAAGTGTATCTATATGTAAGCACATGAGATTTAAGTAAAACTGCAATGATAGAAAATAATTAGGTTTAGTCGTTATCAAGGGCTCTGTTTAAAATCCTTTATTTGTAAAATTGTGTTAATTTAAAATTGGCAACAATAAATAAGTATGTCTTTCAGAGGTTAAAGTGAAAGCCAACTGAAGGCAAGGCAGGTGCATAAGCAAATGTGGTAAAGAAAACTGATGGTGCCCGGCTTTCAAAAGATACAGTGTCTGGGGTTTTAAAGGCTTGAAGATAAACAAGCAGCCATCTAGCTGAGAAATAACAAAGCCCACACGGAAGAAGCACACCAGCCTGTGTGATCACAAGATGTCAATAGGATCAGGTATAGGACATCAAAGAACAAAAAATCATATCATTGTGAATGAAGGGGAGTATGTAGTGGAGACCCAAAGCCCATCTGTAGGCAACTGGACATCCCCTTACAGAAGGGTCATGGGGAGGAGACAAGCCAGTCAGTGTGCAGAGTAGCAATGATGCAACATACAACTTTCCTCTAGCTCTTTAATGCTTCCTCCTGCCCACTGTCATGATCCCAACTCTACCTTACAAATCCGGCTAGACCAGAGGATGTGCACTGGTACAGATACGAGCTTGAAACACAGGGAATCCAGGACAGATAAACCTCTCCGGACTAATAATGACAGTAGCGATACCAGGAGGGGAAGGGGAAGGTGGAATAGAAAGGGGGAACCAATTATAAGGATCTACATATAATCCCCTCCCTTGGGGACGGACAAAAGAAAAGTGGGTGAAGGGAGTTGTTGGACAGTGTAAGACATGACAAAATAATAGTTTGTAAATTATCAAGAGTTTGTGAGGGATTAGGGGCAGGGAGGGAGGGGGAAAATGAGCTGATTTCAAGGGCTCAAGTAGAAAGCAAATGGTTTTGAAAATGATGATGGCAACAAATGTGCTTGACACATGTATGTATGTATGGATTGTGATAAGAGTTGTATAAGCCCCCAATAAAATGGTTTTAAAAAGGAAAAGTGAAAGCCAATATCAAGTCTGTGTGGAAAATAGGGTTTAATCACCAAAGCACTTATTCAGGTTTTGAGAATAATCCCAAACATACTACTAAAGGGCTTAGGTAGGTGATCCAAACTCCTGTTATCAGTACTGGAAGGGAAAAATGGGACCTTAGTCAGTGTCTAGAGCAGTGGTTCTCAACCTTCTTAATGCCACTACCCTTTAATACAGTTCCTCATGTTGTGGTGACTCCCAAACATAAAATTATTTTCACTGCTACTTTATAACTGTAATTTTGCTACTATTATAAATCCTGTGACCCCTGTGAAAGGGTCATTCGACCCCCAAGTGGGTCCCGACCCAACAGGTTGAGAACCACTGGTCTAGTGCCTTTTATTTGTGTAGAAATTGAGAGGATAAAGGGATTTTCTGCGTAAAGTCGGTCAGTTGTCTTTGACAATTTCTTTATGATTAAAAAAGGATTTTTAATCATCTTCCCAAATGCAGAGAGTTTGTTTTATATCTACTAGTCTTAAAATCTTTTTAAAATCTATCTGCCTCTTTAACTCAGGCAGATGATAAAGTGCTCATGGTAATATTTCATTGCTTTATTTTTCCTACTGTTATATTTTTCTCTTCAGTCTCAAGACTAGGAGAACATTTCTTTAAAACAAACAGGATGGTTCTTTTAGTTGAGAAATCATCAAATACGGTAAAAAGACCACAAAGTCTTATATTCCAGAATATAGAAGCTACGTTTTGTATCTTGGTGTTGAATAGGGATGCTAACTAATCAATTAATTCAGCTACCCTTCTTGCTATTAAGGGAATTCCAAAATTAAAACCGGACTAGTTCTTTGTCCTAGTGCATACTGGGGTTAGGGTTGCTTACGCACAGGGAACATGAAGGGAATGAATGTCTTGAGGGAAATAGAATATGATTAATTTCTCCTTAAAGGCCCTCTAGGGGAGGGAAAAACAGACATTAAAATAATGTTTGTTGTACTCTGAGATATTTAACATATTTTTCTCTTTTATTTGATATTTATTTTCTTATGTTATTCCCCCGCTACCCCCCCTTTTTTTAATCTACGTGGGCAAGAAGGGGCCTTTTTAGTTTAGAATCCTTGGGTTTTTCCTATAGCTCACTTGCTTTTCACTCTCAGTTTCCATGTCCTGTGTGGAGAAACAATGTGGAACAATGGAGAGAGATGAGATTTTAGATCAAGACAAGTTGGATTCAGATGATAGTAACATACCTTGCTAACATTTTGAGCTTGTTGAAGTAAACTGAATTTTGGAACCTTGGTTAACTGTCTCAAAAATGAGTTCGTAACACCTGCTAGGACATAATCTGTATAAAACATCAAATGTAAGGTCTAACACATAGCTGGTGTTCAGTTAATGACAACTATTATTATAGTTGATTATGGAACATAGTGGAATATCTATATGTTAGGCTATATGCTTGTCCCTTCACATAGTTTAGCCCTTTTTCAGATGAGCTAACAAATGCTCCAAAGTTAGGGCACACCATCTTCGTCTCCAGGAGCTTATTATGAGAGGGAATTTAATTGTCATCTCTGTTAGGGTTCAGTAGACGTCTGGTTCAATAACAAGTTCTTGGTATAGCTTATTCTTTATCCTAAATGCATAGCTACTATCAAGGGTACATTAAATTGTGTCTGATAAATTTATTCTGTTGTTGGCTAAAGTGACACTTATGACAGGTATATACCCAAATCAGTATTTAAACAAGAGATTAAAAAGGAAATCTAGCCCATCCCAAGATTGCTATACCAGGTATTTCTTACCAATATATATTGCTTTAGAAGCCAAGTAAGTTGTCACTGCAAAATTATAATTGGGTGAAGAATTATTGGGCTGTGTTCTTGAAAAGTCCCTAACAGGAAGAGGGCAATCTGTATGTTCACGTTTTTGTTTGTTTGTTTGTTTGTTTGTTTCTGTATGAAGCGGGCCTTAATCTAGTTTATCCACTTTAGATCCACTTTAGAGTATGTACACATTATTATATCAAGGCTGTGGATACTGCCCCAACCTTCTAGCTTCAGGAAAGGAGAGACTGCCATTGTTGGAGATATCACAATGTGATGTTTGCTAAAACTGCTAAAATCTACTGAACCACTGCTGGGCTTCATTCTAGTTGCAGACTAACCTTAGTCCCGCCTTAACAGATCCTACTAAGGCTTCAAAACCAAACGTTTGCCAAGCATATCAAAACTGTGTGTGCATCTGATACCGGTTTTGTTTTTCCTGGCTTTAATTTTTAAATTGAGGTCATGATGATTTTTAATTGGGGATAAAGAGGTCTGTGCAAATGTTTACATGATTTTTTTTATAGGAAGAGAATAAAGAAATTAAGTCTTTTTTCCCCCCCTCAAATTATAATGCCACTTTGACTGCAATAGACAGGACCCATGCTATCAAGTTTTGTTTGATTTCCTGTTTTCTTTTAAGGGTTATTTCAGACATCAAAAAAGAGAGAGACGAATGGCCTTCCACGTACCCATCTTCAACAAGTATCGATTCATGACAAGTCTTATTGTTTATGTATTCTTACCTACTTGTTATCGTTAGGTTCCAATGCATAGCGGCCCTATGTACAACAGAACAAAACATCTCCCAGTCTTGCACCATGTTCATCTCTTATGTTTGAGCCCATTGCTGTACGCACTTTGTCAATCTGTCTTGTTGAGGGGCCTTCTTCTTTTTTGCTGCCCTTACCAAATTCTTTTGAATTTCATCACAGACGTATTTCAACGATAAATCAGTATGTTTCTATAAGACTTGACCAACAACATACCACACATACATCAACATAATAGCAAAGGGGCTTTAGGTCCTAACAGATAGCTTAGTAGACATAAATTTCCCTGTGCAGAGAAATACAATGGGTATTGTTCATAAAACAGAAGATTCTGAAAAGTAGAGAAAAGAAGGCAGACTGTCAAGGAACTTGGAAACCAAAAGATAATACTGTGGTTACTTCCCTGGGTCTTATTGCCTCATAGATCCCAAACTGGTTCTTGCAGAAGCTGGCAACCCCAAAATGCTAACAGTAGACCGAAGAAGGCCTAAGGGAAACCTGTTCACTAGCCAACAGACCAGGAAGGGGACAACTTACAGAAAACATATTATAACTTACAATTATAATAATTCTAACTAAACATCACAGAAAAAAACAAGCATGCCCCACTCATTCCAGCAGCAGAAACACCTTGGAGAACCTAGAGAAGCATCCCACACTGGACTCAGATCTTTCACCCATCTCCAGAGTTAACAGTGGCTGATTTAAAGACTTAGATTTCTATTCTTATATGGCTGTACTAGAAATCCCCATTGAGGCAAGGTCAGAGGAGACCTGCTAAAACACATGATTTAAATAACATCCAGAGTCTTATATAACCCAGAATTACCAGGTTTGATTCTTAAAACTCACTTGTCGTGCCAAAAAATATTTTGAATGGAAAAGAACCAAGAGACCCAAATCAAAGATGACACAAATGTAAGAGTTGTCTGATAACAATTTCAAAGTGGCCATCACTAAAATGCAATGAGCAATTAAAACACACTAAAAAAAGGAAAAACAGTCTTCACAAAGAAATAGAAGCTAGAAGGAGAACCAGATGGAAATTTTAGGATTAAAAAAAATACAGTAACTAAAAATAGACTTAAGAATTCAGTTGATGAGCTCAACAACAAAATGGGGAATGTAGATGAAAGAAGTGTTGAACTTCGTAACAGAACAATATAAATTAGCCCATCTAAACAGCAGAGAGGACATAGACTGAAAAATAAACAGAGCCTCAGATACATGAGAGAAGCAAAAGATGATCTAACATTCATGTCATTGGAGTTGCAAAAGGAGAGGAGAAATTCAGTGTGTCTGAAATAATTTGTGAGTAATTTCCAAATTTG